TCGCGCTCTAGAGGGCAGGCATACGCGGTCCGCCCAGATACACTTTTTACGTCTGGAAGAGCGAGTTGATATCTTTTGAAGATGCAAAGCACAGTTTTGGACTTTACTCATCCATGGGAATTGAGAACGATGAATATCTCAAACTTGTCGTTCTGCCGAGCCGCTGCCTTTATGTACACACAGGTTGTTTGATAATCGTCTCCCAATCACGTTTGCACTTCAAATAAGCGTGCTATTTTATTAAAGAGGATATAAACAAAGGAGCATTGAGTTAACTACTTGAGGATTTACTACAATACTTCTGAATGCTCGATGCTTTTTTATTTTAGCCAATGTTTTTTCTAGCTTATCATTTTCGCAGTGTCCATAAAATCGAGAAAAAGCATGAAAATGAAACAGAATTTTAGGCAAGATGTGCCCTTACAATACAGAAATGAGGGATATTGTGAGGAAGAATTTTACGGACACGCACAACTACCGAAGGTGAGTTCACTCGTTCTTTAATTACATTACAGCTTCTCTGTACGTACACTTAAGAAGCCAACTCGCTTTGGGGAAAGTTCCAAACAAAAACAACCATTACCTCCGAGAGGCTTCAGACATGATAAAATTGGTAAGTTTCCTACTTTTATGGTGGAACAACGCAAATTCTTCCAGGAATGGGATTGCTGGTTGGAAAGAAATGCAACAGAATATGTTCGTACTTGCCCGTATAAGGAATCGGATGAAACTGAAAGATCGGGGATTGGAGAGCTTCATGCACGGGTGCCCGTAGAAGGCGACTTCAAAGCTGGAGCTTTAGCGGTAACATTTTGATTTGTCCAGGCAACATCTATGAATCTCATTTATTTTGAGGCTGTTAAAAGATGGTGGAGTATTGCACGTAAGGTATCTGTGGATAAATGCATCGGAGACGATGCGAAGTTTGGGAAGGAACTAATCGGCGGGGAAATCAAAAGTTTCACGCAGGTAAGAAACTATGACAACTTTGTTGGAAATAATTATCTCATTGTCGTCTGTACTGTTGCATAGGTTAATTAAGTCAAATACTTTAGATGGCATGGGCAAAAACAACCAAACTAGGATGTGCCATAGGCAGGTGCCCTAATAGTGAAAACACTGG